AATTTTGGTGGCATTTTTGCCCCAAGCCTCTGTTTAATTTCAGAAATAATGTGTGCATGGCGTGATGGCGGGTGTGGGCTCTTTTTCGAGTGGAAGCGGTGGTCTCTTCTGTTGCGAAGCAGATTTCAGATTAAAACATCTGAAGCAAAGCAAAGGCCTGTGCTGCTCTGAAGTACCAACTCATGTCAGCATGAGGGCCGTGTGCTATTTGATAGACCAGCCGCTGATTTAAGGGTGCTTTCCAGTCTTTGAAGCTATTGTGTATTAAATTCAAGCACTTCCAAGAATTTCCGGCATACAGAGAAAATACTCCAAACAAGAAGCTATTGAGAGCTTGTTTCAGTACATCTAATGAAACAGACACAGAATAAGACTCTTGCATCTATTAGATTCTTCTCAGATCAAAGAAAGAAATGAGTGTATATTTCATATAACAGAGAATGAAGAGATCAACATCTCAGCAAACACACTGGATAAGAGAGGTTGCAGGACAAGTGTGAGGAAGCACCTCCAACATTTACTGAATTTCACTGGTTTAGCCAATTAGAGAATGAATGAATCAATATACACTATTTTATAATATGGACACAGGGGCGATTCTAGGATTTTTTCAACTGGGGGCACAAGAGGGGCCACAATTAATACAGAGGGGCCAATCTTATATTGTGTATTTATATGTAGAACTGTAGATATTCAAATAAGTTAATTGATTTTTGATACGAAATTTAATTGATTAAAGCAAATAATGGTCGATTAAGCAAGATAGTTTGGATTGTGTGCAGCTCATGCGCAAAACACGCAGCAGACACAAAGTATCTGCTGAATACTTTGAATATAGACATCCTATTTCAGTTCCAGTCTCGTACCGGCAGGGATTGTAGGTGGGGGGAGTGAATGTACAGTGCTCTCTCCCACCTTCAATACCACGACTGAGCCCTTGAGCAAGGCACCGAACCCCCAACTGCTCCCCGGGCGCCGCAGCATAAATGGCTGCCCACTGCTCCGGGTATGTGTTCACGGTGTGTGTGTGTGTGTGTTCACTGCTTTGTGTGCACTTTGGATGGGATAAATGCAGAGCACTAATTCCGAGTATGGATCACCATACTTGGCCACATGTCACATGTCACGTCACTTAAGTAGCAGGCAAGTCATTATGGCTGTGATGGTGATGAGGCTGGCTCTATTCTGGAAATAATTCACAATGTACAAATTATCCTTTTAATGTGATCGAGACTTTAAAAGTAGATTAAAACAGAGACAATAAAAGGTCCTTCAACATGGAAAGCAAAAGAAATTTAGTAACTAATTCAAGTTTAATAATATTCATCACATTTCATCATATATCGGGTTCAAGCAGGGCAGATCCCATCTGGTCTCATAAATTCATGTTTTCTCCCAATATTCCAAAGCAAATGACAGCATTTGTAAATGGTCAGAAAAGCAAATTATATCTTCAGCACGAGTGTTTAATTTATAATTGATTTTTACAACTTGTTAATTCGTTCCTATGACTTATTAATTTGAGGCCACAGTCCATGTTTCATTAACTTGTTCACTAGTAAACCCATGATTTAACTAAAATGAATGAATGATAAGTCATTGGAACAAATTCTTAATTTAAAAACGTTAACACATGCGATTAATTTTACAATCCTTAACGCGTTGAAATAATTTAACGCAATTAATGCAAAATTACTGAAGCACAATTTCTATTCTAACCCTTTAACCCAAATTTGGTTCTCTGCTTGCGATCAGAACATTTTAAGCCGCTAAACTCCGGGAAAGTTTTCAGTCCAATCATCCAGTAAGCGAATGCATTCAAACAATCCGTCCAAAACAGCGCTAATATAAAGGAAACCAGGCTGATTACACCAGAGATTGCAGAGAGAACAGAGACTCGCGTTGCGTTTTCAGTTAATTATTCATTCCAGTGTTTCGCTTTTAAAACACGAGCTCTGTCATATTCTGTGATTGTCTCTGAAGAGCGCGAGCCCTCACACGTCACACGCGCTGTGTGAAGTACAGACTGAACGGATTGTCAACACATCCCACCGCTGTATGGCCAGATGAGACGCAAACTACGTTTTCTCGACTGGATAACCAGTGTCTCGCTAGTAAAGTTTTGATGGATGAAGACTGCAATCAAGGTAAAGATGATTGCGGTGGTGAGCAGGAGTCGTAGAGTAAGCACGTGTGAGTCCGTTATAATAATGCGTGTATGAATGCTCTTGACACTCATCGCACATTGTATTTATGTAGAGGCACAGACATTTCCGTACATTCATGATAATGTTTTGATTTTTTCATGTGTATGTTGCTGTGTTTAGTTATTCTGAATTGATCCGTGTACTGTAGTAGATATATGCAGTCAGCAGGCGGTTGGTTAAGGTTTTTTTTGGCATCTCCATGTGGTCCTGTTCGGTATCACAACTTGACTTCTCTAAAATGTAAAAAAGCTCTTTGCTGTTGCACTGTACACATACTATACAATTCAGATTTTTTTTTTCTTTCATATGTGCTTATATGGGCTCCTTATATCATTTGGTTCTTTGGTGTCCTTTTGGAGTTTCTAAATGTCCTTTTTTGGAAAGATATCTAAATTTATCTTGAAAAAAAGCTTGCAGAAAATACTGATTTTTGAGAATCACCCTTCAGTCTTTTGGTTTACTTTGCTGGATATAGCAAATGATGGCAAAAACATTTGAAACTAGATAAATGGTCTATGCTTAATTTCATGAAGAGTGCGATTAATTGCGATTAATCACAGAAAAGGGGTGTGATTAATTAGATTAAAAATTGTAATCTATTGACAGCCCTAGTTTATATATATAAATGGCGATAATACCGCATACTGCGCTATTGAGCCACTCAAAATTACCGCAAGGAAAATTCCTTCACCGCGACAGCCCTAGCACTGTGAATTTCATCTTGCAGCCGACAAGAAAACATTAGTTTATTAATAAATAATTAAAATGTCTCCTTTTCTATACATTAATATTCATTAGGCTACTTTTGCCTGTGCTTTGTGGCAAACTTTATACATGTGCTTGAGCGCGGAATATATTGAAGCTCATTATGGATTAGTAGGCCTACTGATTTAATAAAAATGCATGATTAGTTGAATAGCCTAATGGCTTAAGCGAATGACTAGTTAACTAGAAAAATCTTTAGTGGGGGGCAGCCCTATTAAATACCCACTAGACGTCTCTGTTAAAGTTTTAAAGCATTTTATAGCCGTTTTCATAGTCGGATAAATTCCGCTTTCAGAACGGTCACGTCCGTAATGGAGAGATGTCACGTCCGTAACATTGATTTTTCCTGTGAAACACAAAATGAAAATTTAAACAAAATTGATATTTTATGCTTTGTAAATATCCAACCCATTCGGCAAATATTGTTGCTTCTGGTTTGTGCATTGTAAATCGCAGAAAGTCTACAAAATATGTTGTCTCCCAGAAACTCGTGTCTTTTTTGTCACGTCCATAACGCATGTGTTTTTTACTCATTTAAAATATAAAACAGATTTATAGACTGATACTTTTCTGATGTCTGGACTCTATTTTAAGGGGTTTAGAAAAATATAAAGAGATGGTTCAATATATTGGTAATAAATATAATTTATGAGAATATATATTTCAGGTTTTGACTGCAAATGTCATGTCCGTAACGGTGGAATTTCCCAATTACAACATTGAACAAAAAATTTAAAGCCTGTACAAATACTAGTAATCGTGATTCCCTTTCATGGGAACTTCGAACTGCGTCCTCTAGGGGTCGCTATGGGGAACGCCTCGTCGTGACCCGTGTCTGAAGCATACATTGAAAAAACACCAACAACACGTTGGCCGGCGACAGCCATGACATCACTACCGGTGCGACTATAGTATAAATAGGCACCGGGAGAACACATCATCCTCTTCTTCGCCTTCATTGACTGTTTTTGTTTGAAGCGTGCATTTCTGTGGTAAGAGCGATCTCTATTCATATCAGCACTATGAGAGCACTAGCAAAGCTCATATTCATATCAGCGATGTGTGCAGTGATATGAATCAGTGTGCAGTGTGCATCCGTGTTGTCGTTGTTTAACATCTGATGACACACACGATCTATGCGTTATTTGTTCGGGCGAAGAGCACGCACGCGATGCCTCTGAGGGGGCAATCGGCGTGCACTGCGAGCGTTTT